ACTGAACACTGGACAGTTAAGCTGCTCAGCCGTCACTGGTAGAGGACAAGGGGCAGGTGAGCTGAGCAAGACCCGCGCAGTGGAGAAAAAATACGGCCCTTTCTTTCCTGGGCACAAAGGGTCTTCACTCCCGCCGTGAAATACAGAGGCTGGCGACGCTGTTTGGTCCTCTGCAGGGATGGGCTGGTTCACTCTTAAAGGGAGCCGTCTGGACAGTTAAGCTGCTCAGCCGTCACTGGTAGAGGACAAGGGGCAGGTGAGCTGAGCAAGACCCGCGCAGTGGAGAAAAAATACGGCCCTTTCTTTCCTGGGCACAAAGGGTCTTCACTCCCGCCGTGAAATACAGAGGCTGGCGACGCTGTTTGGTCCTCTGCAGGGATGGGCTGGTTCACTCTTAAAGGGAGTCGTCAGACAATGTCTTTGTTGGAACAAACCAGCCTGCCCCCCAGAGTGGCCCTATCCAGATGTTTCTGAGCCTCTGGCTTGCAGGGGCTTCTGCTTTTTTTTGATGCATGTAGGATCATTCTGGTCTGGATTGGTTCCAGCACATGTGATCCCTGGAACCCATCCAAAGGAAGCCTTCTGGTTTGAATTTGCTAATATCCTGAAGTGGCGTAAAAAATTTAGCCACTTCAGGATACAGTGGTGCCCCACATAGCGACGATAATCCATTTTGGGAAAATCGTCGCCATCCGGATTCGTCGCTATGCGAAAAGAAAAAGCCCATAGGAATGCATTAAGCCCCGTTTAATGTGTTCCTATGGGCTTAAAACTCACCGTTATGCGAAAATCCTCCATACGGCCGCCATTTTCACTGCCCGGTATGCGAGGAATGGGTGCGAAAACACTAGCACTTGCTCTGACTCCTTCCTTCCTTCCTTCCTTCCTGGGTCACTGAGGCGGCCTGGGCTGGACCAAACCCCACACCGCTGCCTCAAGACAGGGGTGGCAGCTTCTCTGCCCCACGACTCCTTCTTCTTTTCTAGGCAGTGCAAGCTGGAGGAGGACCTGCTCTTCTCCGGGCGCTTCACTGACGCCCTGCAGACGCTCATGGACTGGCTCTACCAGGCAGAGCCCCAGCTGGCCGAGGAGACGCCGGTGGCTGGGGACCGAGACGTGGTCGGCACCCTCATGGACAAGCATAAGGTCCGTGGCCGGCCTCTCGGCCCTCCAGTGTCCGCATGAGATGGCTGGGGAGGAAGGTTCAGGTTCCCTTCCGCTGCGGGTCCCAGCTGGGGCAGGGGGAGTGGGGCAGCCCCACGGCTCTCCGAGGTCTCCTCCAGAGTCAGCGACACCCCTCCCCTGAAAGGGGAAGGAGGCTGTGGGCGTCTCCCTGCTCCGCCCCACTGCCCTGATCCCCTGGCGGCAGCCCCTGGCAGGAGTGCCGCCCATCCATCCCCTCTTTTGCTCCGGCAGGTCTTTCAGAAGGAGCTGGGCCAGCGGGCCAGCTGCATCAAGACCCTGAGGCGGTCTGTGCGGGACCTGATGCGGGGCGGCGGCTGGGACTCCCAGTGGCTGCAGAGGCAGGTGGAGGAGCTGGGCCATCGCTGGGAGCTGGTCTGCCAGCTCTCTCTCTCTAAGCAGGACCGGCTGGAGGCTGCGCTCAGGCAGGCAAGTGGACTGCGGGTGGGGGGGAATGGGGGGCAGCGGGAAGGCTGGCTGGCTGGCTGGCTGAGGGTGCAATTGGGTTCATGTTGCCTGTAGGCCTCCCGGCAAGGCTGGCTGGCTGGCTGGCTGGCTGAGGGTGCGATTGGGTTCATGTTGCCTGTAGGCCTCCTTCGGTCTCGAGAGACGACGGGAACGTCCTCTGAATCGAGGTCTTGGAACAGGGTCTCGCGTGGCTGAGGTGGCCCATTCGAGAGTGACACAGTCCCTTCCACATGTTGCCCAAGGGCAGCGAAAGTGTTGCGCCTGTTGTTGTTGTTGTTGTTGTTGTTGTTTCGACTTACATACCGCCCCATAGTGCTGAAGCACTCTCTGGGGAGAGGCAGGAAGAGGGCCAGAGGTGCCCCACTGAGGCCGACTGGAGCATCCAGGTAAACAGAAGGAGGGCCCCTCGAATGAAAGCAGGGCTAGAACGAGGGCCTGGGTGAGAAAAGAGAGAAGAGCAAAAAGGAGGAAGAAGTCCACGTAAATGGGGTCGTGCAGATGACAGACCGTCTGAGGCAAGCACAAAATACAAGAGGGCCTGCTGTAGTGTGATATTCTTCATTGTCCAGATAATCCTAGATCCCCGAACCCTTCCTATGACAGGGTGAACTCCTATTTCTGAATCATGCTGTCTGCTGTACAGCATGCCTTCAGATGCAACACAGGGCAGGCGTCGGAAGGTCTGCATCAAAAAAGGGAACGGCATCCACGGCGGGCAGCCCCCTCTGGCCTCCGCTCGGCTCCTTCGTCAGCCCGGAGAGTCTGATGCCTGAGCAGTTCTGCAGGGGCCCTGAACAACTTCATAGACCTCTAGGGGAAAAAACCAACAACCCAGAAGCCTGTGTTCATCACAGCTGATCCTGGTCCCATTTAGGGTTAATTCCAGAATGAAATCAGACAACCATTGTCAATTGTATCAAAATCCAGATATTGAAAGTCCTATAAATCTCTTTCTTGTTGCAATGATTCCAGACTTGGCTATTTCTACAAGCTGTATTTATCAACATTGCTCCTATGTTATATGCATAAAAATACTTCAGAGTTGTAAAATACATCTAAAAGACTTACAGCTATGGGGAAAAAATTGTAGGCACAAATTCTTAAAAATACTGTATGTGAAAAAGAAACTGAAGTTGCAGGCAAATACTTAAGTCAGAATTCAGCCCAAAATACAGGAGCATAAAAGGTATAATAAAATGCACAAAATAATGTTTTAATTGCATGGTAAAAATGCAGGAACTTATGATCTGAAAAGGCACAATCAAAAAGCTGAGAATAAATCTCTAAAACACATCATTTAAAAGTTTTTAAAAATTATAAAATTACTGCATCATCAAATGCCATCTGCTGGTCATGTCAACACATTGCAACATTTAAATAATATATTTTTCCATGTACAGTATAAGACATGCCCTTTTCTAACCCAAAATTAAGAAATCAATAGTTCAAACATAAAACAGAATGCATTTTTATTTAATAATTAGGTAAAATTTACATACCAGTACCATCATATTAGGGACATGGCAGCGCTGCGGGTTAAACTGCAGAAGCCTCTGTGCTGCAAGGTCGGAAGAACAGCCATCGTAAGATCGAATCCACGTGATGGAGGGAGCTCCCGTCGCTTGTCCCAGCTCCTGCCAACCTAGCCATTCAAAAGCATGTAAACGCAAGTAGATAAATAGGTACCACCACGGTGGGAAGGTATTGGCGTTCCGTGTCTAGTCGCGCTGGCCACGTGGCCACGGAAACTTGTCTTTGGGCAAACGCTGGCTCTACGACTTGGAGACGGGGATGAGCACTGCCCCCTAGAGTCAATTGGACTAAATGTCAAGGGGAGCCTTTACCTTTACCGTCATGTTATGCATCATAGTTTAACTTTATTCAGCCTTTAGGCTCAGAACACTCGGACATTAGGAGCCCCTGTTGCATCTAAGCACTGTTGCAGTTGGTTTGTTCAGCATCAGCTGACATCAGTTACATAATTCTGCTGACTGTAGGATGCTGTTGCAGTTGGTTTGTTCAGCATCAGTTAACATCAGTTACATAATTCTCCTGACTGTAGGATACTAAGCTTCCTGATTGGAGGAAGCCTGTTTGCTGAGGAAAGGTACAGGCTGTTTTGTTCTCACCTCAGCTTACTTCCATGTATAAAACGACCCTCAATTTTTAGTCTAACGATTTTAGGAAAAAGTAGTGTCTTATACATGGAAAAATATGGTAAACCCATGGTTTCAGTATCTTTTTAATTCTCTCCTTTGTTTACATTCATATTTGACCGATAGCCATGAAATACATTTGTTTACATTCATATTTGACCGATAGCAATGAAATACACTCTTTTGCAAAGCAATGTTATTGCTTTCAGACTCAGCTGGAGAGCTGGCTGATTGCTTTGCAGTGACCTTGAACATAATCCTCATCATGCGCCATCAAGTCAATTCTGACTTATGAAGACCCTTTTCAGGATTTCCCCAGAAGATAGTATTCAGAAGTGGTTTCTCCTGGGGTGCCCTGGGGATCCGCAGGTGGCCCAAGGCTAAAAAGGCTGCCTCTCTTCCAGGAGGCACAGTGGGGAACCGAGCTCCCAGTCTCAACTTTCAGTATATAGCTGTTCAAACCTCATTTTTAAATCACAATGCGCGTTTTCCAGGGCTGCTTTTTCTACACCCCCTCCCCTTAATTTATACATTCAAAATGTCCCATCTTGACACCTTGGGCCTGAGGGATTCCTCCTCTGACTGCATGTCCTTGGAGGCCCCAAGAAAGGGTTACAACCCACCAGTTTGAAGCTTGGGTGGGTGTGGAGCCTCAAAGACTCTGAAGGGATTTCAGCCACACAGACCATTCAGCTGAAGACAGAAATGTAGGCACAAGATGAGAGGAAGGCTGGCGGGTTGTAGGCGCAGGAGTAAACATGTGCAGCAGAGGATCCGTGCCTTCTGCTCGTGCCAGGGAGAACTGCGGGACCAGCGGGAGGGGGGTTGACCCTGGGCCGGCTGCCCTTCTAGCCCTTCCGCAGATCCTCCACCCGGCCACCGCCACCCCAACGCTGCAGGGATTCACCCGGTTCTGCCTGCAAAGCCCCCAGGCATCCCAGGGCCCCTTCCCTGCGTGGGCTGGGCAGCTCCGGGCCCGAGGGAGTGGGCTGTTGCCGAAGCCCCTGCAGAGACGCCGCCTGCTCTCGCCCGCCAGGCCGAGGAGTTCCACCGCCTGCTCCACTCGTTCCTGGGCCGCCTGGCCGAGCTGGAGCGGTCGGTCAAGCGCACGGCCCTTCCGACGGACGAGGCAGCCCTGCGCGAAGGCCAGCAGCAGCTCACGGTAAGAGCCCGCCAGCGGGAGAGGGCGGTGGCAGCGGCGGCAGAGGGAGGGGAACCCCTTCCCCGGGGAGGGGCTGTCGCCACTGTCCCTTGCACCACTGGGGCCGCCTCGGCCTTGCCCACTCCCGGTCCTTGCGGGGTGTGGCGGTCTCTGAGCCCGCTGCCCTCTCCCCGGCAGGAGCTGAGGCAGGGGTTGCAGTGCCAGCAGCTGGAGCTGGAGTGCCTGGTCTCCCTTGGGGAGGAGATCCTGAGCGCCTGCCACCCGGATGCCGTGATCCCGCTCCGGTCCTGGGTCGCCGTGGCCAAGAGCCGCTTCCAGGAGGTAGGGGGTGGGGAGATGGGGGGAGCGGGACCGTGGGGTGCTGCCAGGGCAGGCTTGGCCTGGGGTGAGGAGCGCCGCCTTATGGTGGGGGGTGGGTGGGCGCGTAGTCCCCTGCCCGCCTTGGGGTAGGGGCTGATCCGGGCAGCCTCCTCGCAGGAGCAGCTGGCGCTGGGAGGGAAGGGCTGGGGGGCTGATGGGGGAAGGCGGCAGATGGCGGGGAGGCAACCCCCCCTCACAGAGCGTAGCCCACCAGCGGCCTTCCTTCGGGACCGGGTGGGGCTCTGCTTCACCCCTCCTGGCTTGGGGGCCCACAGGTGCTCAGCTGGGCCAAGCAACAGGAGGAGCAGCTCCAGGCGCGGCTGGCCTCCGTGGTGGCTGAGCAGGAGGAAGTGGCGCAGCTCCTCGACTGGATCGGGGCCGCCGAGGAGGCCCTGAGTCTCCGGGAACAAGAGCCTCTGCCGGAGGATGCCGAGCAGCTGGAGGAGCTCAGCGCTCAGCATGCGGTGCGTAAGGATGTGACTGCCGCCCGCCCCCCCCGGGCACCGGCTGGCAATACTTTGGGGGGGGCGAGGGGGTGAGTGAAGGCATGAGGGAGCCTTCTGCAGCCCCTGGCCTCCCAGAGAGCAGCTCTGGGCTGGGAGCAGGGGGACGCAGAGGCTCAGCCCACGGAGGGGCACTGTCCCCCCCCCACCCCACCCCCCCTCTGACAGCTGCCTCTTGGACCTGCCAGGTGTTCATGGAGGAGCTGAACCGCAAGCAGCCAGAGGTGGAGAAGGTCACCCAGAGCGGCCGGCACAAAGTCCCTAAGGAGCTGGGGTTGGCAACCGCCCCCCGGAAGCTGTCTTCCCGTGAGTGCCCCCCCCCCGCATGCATTGATTCCTGCATAATAGTATCTGGCGGGGGGAGGGCAGAGACATGTCCTTGAAGGTGGTGGACACCCACCTGCTGTGAAATGCACCCCAGCCCCCACCACCCCGCTGCAAACCCCCCAGTTCTTGGGTTGTTGTTTTTTCTTTACTTCTGGGACTTCCAAGGGGCTAGAAGCATGTTTGTGAGGTGCCCCATGGCCCCACAGGTGCCCCATGGCATGTTGCAGTCCTGGGGCTCCCTTTCCTGGGCCCCATGAGCAGCATTTCGGCCTGGACAAGGCTCAGTGGGGGGG